CAAATGAATCATTCATTCAGTTATGGATTTTTGGAGTAAAATCTAAAATCTAAAAATTCATATTTTCTGAGCTCTCTCTCTCTCTCTCTCTTGTTTTTAAAAATTTATGCCTTTATTCATAATTTAATTTAAATATTTAATGCATTTTATTTTCATAGTATAGTCTTTTAGCCGTAACTCATGTTTCGTAACATTAAAAGCAAATATGAAATTAGATTTTATTTTTCATGAAAAATATTTAAATATTTCCGAGAATTAAATCCAATAATAATTTTTATGTATTTTCTCATATACTAGTAAAATCCATTTTCATAAACATATTAGTCTTATAAATATACTACACTTTAATGCCTTAATAAAAATGAAGTAAAAATATTTTCTGTATAATAAAAGTTGCATTAAAAATAAACGCAAAAATAATAGACTAATTAAATAATAGTTTAATTTATTTTTTCATTGTATTTTTTTAATTTTCAAAACTCTCTCTCTCTCTCTCTCTCTCTCTCTCTCTCGCACTGAAAGTGTCCCCAATTTTTTCACAAATAAATAAATTTTATATAAAAAATAAAAAAAATAAATTACAAATTAATTTTCACATTCAACACAATGATTGGCACAAATATATATTTTTTGCTTTTGTTTTATACAAACACATAATTATTATTATCATTAAATTGTCAAACATTTTGTTTTTGTCGTGTAAATTAAATTTATGAAAAAAACTTTTCTAATAAACTAAGAAATCAATATTTTTATATCCTGGTGCAAATATGTTGTAAATGAAATTGCCTCATAAATTAAATTACAGACATAAATATATACTTATAAATATTAATTTTAAAATTACTTTCAAATATAAAGTATTGATGATTATTTATTGTAAATCTATACTAATATCAATGAAATTACATTAAATTAATTTTACTTGAAATATAATAAAATTAAAAATTATTATATTGATTATTAAATTTTGCCATTATTAAAATGATTTACTATTCACCTTACAAAATTATTTAATACATTATTGTATTATCCGTTTTTGCTCTCGCCACATAAAAAATGAAAATTATTTCTTAGTTAATATATTTTAAATTAGTGAATATGTTTACAGGTTGAAATTAAATAACATTTTACTATTAATAGTCACACATTTTGGATTTTCATATGACTATCAGATATTTGATATATATTTCTAAAAATCCATATTTCATAGAAATTTACTATAAATTTGCATCAATGTAGACTTTTAATAAAAATATTATAAGATTAATTTTATAATAAATATTTAGCACCCCATCAGGAACCCAAAAACTAATTAATATTATACCCTTGCTAATATAATGTAGCTAGCAAATATATATACAGTTTGAAAATAATTTTATTTCAATGAACATATAAATGGCAATAACCCTGCTCATATTTTTCAGGCGAAATCCTCGTATCGCGTGATAAGTTGGATGACATCGTGTCGGCCGCGAAGTTCCTTCAGATAGAAGGCGCCAAAGACTTCATTCTACCCAAGAATCAGCCCCAACGGGGGGACACCCACCCCCACCAGACTACCGGTGCCGGCACTGGCAGTGGTGGCAACCACTACAACAATAATACCGGTGTGACTGGCCATACGAACAGCGCGAGTCGTATGCAAATCGACTTGCAGCACATGAAGACCATGTCCTCCCTGAGCCTCCAGAGACAACTGGCCGCCGCACAGGCCTCCCAACACCACAAACAGATGTCCCTATTGTCCAAAATGATGGTCCAGAGGCCGCAGACTGCCGGCGCTGCTGCTAAGGGTACCGGCGATCAGTCAACCGGTGGCCAATCGCCAGCGCCGGGCGAACCGGAAGTACAGCTGAGGCACGCCGTCAAGCGTGAGCTCATCGACGAGGAACTGGAGGACGAGGAGGACGTGGATGAGTTGGACGAAGAGGTGTCGGCGCCGGAGGGCACCGGTAGTGATGGAAAGGCGGCCGAAAAGTCGGGAATGTTTGCCGAGTTTGAGGACCAGTCAGGGGTTGTCAGCAATAGTAACGCCACTAATAATGGAAATACCGGTCGGGATAAGAGTGCGCCCAATGAGGGGGACAGTCGTCACTCGGAGGACAGTAGTGCCGGTGATGAGGACGAGGAGGATATGGACGAAGAGGCCATGGATGTGACTACCAGTGCGGCGACGACGGCAGCGATTCTGGCGAAAGTACCCCCGGGTACTAGTGTTAGCACTACCGGTGCTGATGGTGGCGGTGATGCACAGCATAAAAGTGATAATTTGAATGGTATTTAAGTTTTTTGGTTATTATTAGTAGTATTTTAAATTATGTTATGTTAATACTATTTTATTTCTAGTATTTTACACTGGTGCTATTATAATTCTGGTATTTTATCTATTTAACATACTTTTTCTAGTAATTTACACTGGTACTATTATACTATTATAGTATTTTATACTTTTTTATAATCAAATTAAAAGTTCAATTATTTTATATACTGTTACTATTAATAAATCTAATTTTTACACTGGTACTAAAGTATTTCTGGTATTTTATTCTAGTACACTTATATTTCTGATATTTTAACAATTTTCTGGTATTTAAAAATACTTTAATTTTTAAACTCTTTTAAGTCGAAAACAAATGATTATTTTTCTATTAATTTTAATTATTATTTTTGTCTCTAATTTAAGGCAAAAATATTTTACGTCGAAAATAATTACAAAAACTTTTTGTTTGTTTTAACGACAAAATTAATGAATGAGTGATTGAAATGATATTTGTTTTTAAGCTTAAAATTTTTACCTTTCAATCAAATGGTATTATAAATGTAATTATAAACTAATATTAAAAATATATTTTTATAAAATACTTTTATTTTACAAAAATAACATTACAATCAATCAATCGATATCCCAAGGTTTAGACACCATTACCGGTACTATCCCTATCCCCCGTACCATTTCATTAGAAATATAAAACTACCAGTCCTTCAAATAAATTAAAAATTTCTATAACAAAAAATTAAATTAAATTTTATGCTCATTTCTACGAAAATTGAAAAAAACTTTAATATTATTTAAACATATTTTCGTAAATAAATTATGAAATAAATTATTAATTTTCAACACATTTTCAACGAGTTTTTGTGTATAATTAGCGCACCTTTTGTTATAGCCTTGTGTTCACTGATAGTGTACTTGAAATTTAATTGTATATTAAAAGTGTATATTAAAGTGTCTAGAAATTTTATGGTGTTGTAGTATACTATTATTATATTTATATTTTTTGTATTGATTTTTTGCCAGTTAGTTATTTGTATATGAATGTATAGCTAGTATTGATTAGTAGTAATAATACAGTTAATTTATTGCAAAAATATGGAGCAATATTTGCCATAATTATTATTCAAATAGATTTTACTGATAACGATAGTAATTATAAATGAGATTTAATTTTGATAATTTTATTTTTAACCCTTTTTACTAGTAAAGTACTTTTCAAATAATTATTTTACATTCTACATGTTTGATAATATTTAATAAAAAGTTTGTCGACCAATATTTAGTTATAGAAACTTTTTAAATGTTTATTATTAATAAATTATTACTATATTTTATTCTGTATATTCCGTATAGAATCCCTATTCAAAAATAGTATTTATAGTATTTTATGTAATGTATTGTAATTATCACAGAATCTTAACAGAATACAGAATAAAAATATATTATAATATACTTAGAGTTATTATAAATACCAAAAAACTAATAGATCCCGATAATTAATTATAAATGACGCTATGATATATAACTAAAATCTAAAATTGATTTACAGTTTTATTACCAAAACGACAATAACTTTAAGCTAAACATAATATTGATAATAAAAATTAATTTATAACACTAAATTTGATCAAAGTATACATTGACCAACACATTCAAAACCCATTTAATAATACTAATTAAATGCTATAATATATTACTGAAAGTTATAATAAATATATACAGTTTGAAATAAACTAAACTAAACTACACTATAAGTACAAAACAATTAACTATAAAAACACATTAAAAATAAAATACTTATAAATATTTCTATATAAAACACACACTAATGGTATCTCGCCTACCGTTCCCTCACATCCCAACCCTCAGTGCCAACCCGTGAGTCGGAGGACGATATAGCTCTGGAGGAAGAAGAGGAATACGAGGACGAGTTCGACGAGGAGGAGCTCCTGGACGAGGAACAGGAGGTTATTACCGGTGGTCGACAGCACCGGGCGATGAGTATGGGTCGGGCCCTGGAATCTCAGCAGTCGATGGACACACCCCTTGCCCGGGCTATCGCCGCCTCAACCCTCGCCTCGTTTGGTGCCGGCGCTGTCGATATGGACAGTGAGGTCTCCCAGTCCTCGTCCGGACCCTACAGTTCCCCGAAACGGTCGCTCACTATCACCGCACACACCGGTAGTGAGCGGCGGGGTAGGGGTCGGCCCCCCAAATACGGTATGACTTCCTAGTAGTTAATTATTGTGTGATTTATGAATATCTGGTTTTGTATAACGAGATGAGTATTTGTATGATTTATTTATTGTAGATTTTATATGAGTATAAAATATTAATGAATTGTTTTGAAATAGTACCTAGATAATTACGCAAATATATCTAGAAACTGTAAAAGTCAAGCAAAGTTTAAACTTTAGTTATTATGAATTAACACAAAATTTATTGGTTTATAAATCGGTTACTTATTTTATTTGTAGACTTATAAGTAATATGTTTATAGAAAACCTGATAATTATTAAATATAAAATTTTACATATAATTGATCTAGTTATAATTTAATTTATTATACAAGGCATTCGCCTTTATAAATAACCCTACTTTAAACTCCAAACAAATACTCGTCTCGTTTTATATAACCAGATATTTGACACAAAATAATAAAATAATTTCACTAAATACAAAACTAATCGCTTGATTACCGGCAGACATGGGAAGCATATTCACGGGACTGGCGTCTGGGGTCAGCGCCGCATCCATAGTCACACCAACCGTTATAATGAGCGCACAATCGACGGCACCTTCAGCTACGGCCACATCAGCCCAATCGTCGTCGGCCTCCGCCACCCGTTCCCGTAGGGGTAGACCGCCGTCGATGCCCGAGGAGTTGCTGCGATCGCTGACCGGCCGGTTAGATAAGGCTCACCACAAGTGTCCCCACTGTCCGCAGATATACTACGGCTATCACGCCATGAGAGACCACATAACGTCTGTCCACTTGAACTCCGGCGAGAAATACATATGTAATCTGTGTAACAAGGAGTACACGTGGCGTATCACCCTGCGCAAACATCTCAAGTTTCACCATGGCGTGCACCCGGACCAAGTTCAGAACGCCTGACCACTTTAGATACCGTTTCTCTCCCCCTCCCGTTCCCACACTTTTTGATTAGGTTTTGTTTTTTTGTAAACTTTTTTTTGGTGATTGAAAAAAGTCTAAACTTTTTTTTGTTTGTCTCTCTGTTTGTAGTTATGAATTGAGTGTTGATATGATAGCCCTTTCCCTCCATACCCTTCCCACCGAAGACCTTACCCTTAGATACCGTTCTCTTTAATATATTATAATTAAGTTTTTTTGTGAACTTTTATATAAAAGTTTAAAATTAATTGCATTTCTTATATCTCTCTGATTGTGATTATGATGAGTACTGACTGTTAGTTAAGTTAATTATAGCTCCCGACCCCCTCCTATACCCCTTAACCACCCGTTCCCCACATTTACCGTGCATTTGGTTTATAAATTAATTTACAATTTAATTGCTAATTGTTTTGATTGTAAATCGTTTGTGAATTGTTTGTGTATTTTTCTACCACTTATTTATACACTGTTTTTAGACACTGTAGTGGGAGGGGGTATATGGTGTCGGTGTGGGTCTTAAATACATTGAAAGTCAAACACAAGCCCTCCGTTTATACACATAAAAAGTACCCAAAAGTACCCCAAATCTAAAGGTTTTACATTTCCATTGAAGTATAGGAAACAAAAATATATGATAAATATTATACATAAAAGAGTAATAAGTTTTTTGCTTTTAATTTAATTTACTTATAATTATCGATAAATTCTTTTTGTTTTTTTGTGTAGATTTAAGAAATCATTTATTATTAATATTATTATAATTACATTTTTGCTATTAATTTATACAATAGATTTATATATGGATATATGAGAGACTTAATTTTGATGACAAATTACTAATTATTATAATTATAACGATTACTATCATTACAAAACTGAATCCCAAATTCAAAACAATAATTTATTTGTGTTTTTTTGTTTATTTGAAACTTATTTTTGATTTCTATTATTAAATTTAAATTATTTGTGAATTTTTTGGACTTAAACTTTCAAAACCTATAAAACATTTATATTAAAAGAAATATATTATAAAATGAGACAAAATATATGCAAAATATATATTCAAATAAACACACAAAACAAATGCTGTAATTTTGTAGCCGACAAAATATAACCACGCTTATATATATAAATATAAAAACAAAGTTTTTCATAAATATTTAGATATACATGTGAACCAAATGTTAGTTTTAAGGAAACTCTTATATAATTATTATTGATTTGTATGAATAATATATTTATTATTTAATTGATTAGATATAATGTTTAGAAAGTAATTGTGAGATAAGAGTATAAATAAGTTTTTTTAATTACAATTAATACCATTTTGTGTAATATTTAAATGCATTACATTTTCTTGTAAAGTCTTTATCCCTTTTTCTATTAATTCATTATTTGATTAAACATTTAATTAATTTAAAAATTAATTTTGTTGTAAATTTATTGCAAAAGTATTTCTTAACTAATTATCACTATTCGTATGAAATAATAGTTGTTTATTTAATTTATTCAAAACTAATTCATTAGAAATTGAGTGAAATTAATATTACACACAATTTTCACAATAAAATACTTATTCAGTAATTAGTTTCAAAATATAAGTGAAATGTTTACAAATAAAACAATACATACATCAAAAAGGTGAACAAATAGAAAACTGTACATTATATTGAGAAATAATTTATCAGGTAAAATTACCATTTAATATATTTATATTTATTAAATGGGAACTATATTTTAATTCATATAATTTTTAATAAGCAGCAATCAACATGCTAATTAAAATCACAACTATTACTATTTTGCTGAACCATGGTAACATAAACAATTTTAATTATTAATGAAATTAGATTTTTAATTAATCATATATTTATGTTACAGTTTACTCGATGACTAACATACAAATTGAGCAAGGTCTGCGAGCGGCCACCGACCAAACCAATGCATTCATCGCTAAATTAAACAAAACTATCCAACACTACGACCAGGAAATGAATACAATGGCTATCGAAGTAATGGCTGAGATTAAAGTGACCCAGCAACTCGCTAAAAACCCTGTACCGTTAGGATTCATATACGTACAACTACCCCATCAAACTGACCCTGCACACTTGTGGCCTATGGTTAAGTGGACCGATATTACTAGCGAGTATGCAGGATTATTTTTCCGTGTCATAGGTGGTGACTCGGGTGCGTTTAATGTGATTCAGCAAGCTAATTACTCGCGTATTGAATGGATTAAGACAAAGACCATGGTAGGTTTAGTGCATAATAGGACTCATGAGGCTAAGGACCACGTCCTTAATGAGGAAAGTTGGGGTGCGAGTAACCAGTGGGTGCAGGGTGCTTACCTTGCTAACTTTTATCACAGTCACAGCGAGAATGTACCGCAAAATACGGCGATTAAAGTGTGGAAACGTAGCGCATAGTTATCATTATAAATGATGTAATGATATTATAAAAGTACCATGTTATATTATGGCTAATTGGTAAAAATATTAAACAAAAATATAATTTTTACTAAATTTTGTAATAAATTAAAATGGTGTCTATGGCTGACCAAAATGTAATTTAATTAAATTGTTGATTGATATTTTGTAATTTAGATAATATTTTTACAGTTTTAAATTTACTAATCAAGATCATATTTTTTTATAAAATTTTGTTAATATTTTCGAAGTTTTATTATAATAAATTGCACGATTTTCGTAACTATTACCAATTAATTAGTTATTAAAAATTAATTGTTAATATAAATAATTTCAAAAGTATTGTTTACAGTTTTAAAACTAGAAATTACAAAAATCTATTTATTAAATTATAAAAACAATAAGCCAAATATTTATGCCTCATATTAATTTCTATGCTTCATGTTTTTATTTATCATGTATGTTTAAATTGAATATTTTAGTAATGTTTTAAACGTGCAATTTATTTAAGGGATTAAGTGAAATTATTTTTTTGATACAAAAATAGTTATGAATATGAATTATTAGTAAAGCTATTTTTCGTACCAGGGTCATTCATTTAGGTGGTGCAGCCCAAAACCCGAAAGTACTATTCGTATAACTTATAACTCTATGAGAAATTAGGTTTTTTTAAAAACTCAATCCAAATATAGTGTCCACAATAGTATTAAACCAAAAATCCTATTAAACATAACAACAAATAAATTGAGTTTATAGTTTATATGAACGATACTTTAGTCTAATGAGTCCTAAACTTTTGATTTTACTCCAAGTACTGAGAATGAATATATAATTTAATTAATTCAGTCCATAATTAACTATTTTGGTTCACAATTTAAAACAATTATATCATAAGCTAATGCGTGAACACTGTTTATAATGAGACAAACTGTGTTACAATTGTTTGCTTTGTGAGCGGAATATCATTAATATATTCATTCATTGTATGCGATTCTTGTGGACACTTATTGTGATTCACTATTTTAGCGCACATTGTAGTGACCACTAAATGATCTGACATTACAATATGGCTTTGTTTTCAAATTATACACTCTATAAGTTATGTAATAAATAATTTATTTGTAAAATTCCCATTTTATTTAAGGTATTTATCAAGTGATTAGAATTTTTATCTAAATCATGTGGGTAAGTTATTCTGTATAACTTATACAGATATTTTGTGCAATTTTATATTTTTTATCAAATAAATTGTTTAAAGTATAATTTTTAGCATATTAAATGCTATCAGTTTATTTACTTTGGCTATAGATTTAAAATTCTCTCTCTCTCTCTCTCTCTCTCTCTCTCTCTCCCTTTCCTCCCTCCCTGTCAATGAAATTTGATTCAATTACTATATCTAATAATCAAAGTTTCAAAATTGATAAATTTCTTATTTATTGAGCACATGTCTGTCTACTTACAGTATTTTATATAATCTTATTTTTTGTGGGCATTATATTATGTATGGGTTTTAGAGTCCAGGGAGAGGGAGGGGAAGGGTATAGAAAGCACAAGCAAGAAAGCTATGGGTTTTAGAGGAGAGAGAGAGAGAGAGAGAGAGAGAGCTATATGGGGCAAGAGATGAAAGTACGGGCGTGCCTGGTATAATTGAGTATAAATTACTTTTATATATTATATAACAGTGAAAAACCTTTGAAATAACGCACATTAAAGGCTTACGGGATATATATGAATACGAAGCCACCGAAAAATATCATACATTTAGCAACAATTGTCTCATTTAATGCTACTGTATGTGCAATTAAGTACTATTTGTTTTTATTATATTATATAAAAATCGGATTATGTGGTCCTAAATGGGAGAGAGAGCTATTTATATGTAATTACAATTAAAATTATTAAATTATTAACTCATTTAACTATAATCTACATTACATACTTTGTATAAAATTAATAAAAAAATTAATATTTAAAAATAATATTAAAAATTATAAGCTCTCTCCCTTTCAGTGTGCCCGGTGTGCCAAAAAGTCAGTCCCATATTCACTCGGAGTCCAGACATAGAGACATAAAGTATGGGAAAGACCTACCCATCCATTAAATAATAAGCGCTACCATTCCCTTTCGCATCATATATATAGCAAATACTGTACTTTTATAAGAGACACCAAAATACATGTTTTTGGCACTCAATCAGTACTCCAATGGAAGTCTATGTCAGCAGTAATGCATGGATTCATATGCGAAACAAGTGTTACCTTAACTCACAGACCCATTCAATGAAAAGTATTTTATTTTAGTTTTTGTTTTATTTTTTATTTGGACAGGTATGCCATATGTGTATTAATAGCGAGGGTAGATACTCATCGAGAGTATTGATTTATGCGACATGTGTGTGTAATAAAAAAAATTTAAAATAATTGTAATTTTTATTATAAAGTTTGCATCATTATAAATTATTTTATAATATTACGCTATTATAGCACACAATCACTACTGTCAACATTAAGTTGTATTTTTATTGACCTTATTGTGAAATTAATACCAGTGTAAAAAATCAACAAAACTTTAAAATGTATTCAAAGTATGAAAAGGTACGTAAAAAATATATTTTTGAAATAAGTTTTTATCTGAAAAATGACACGTTTTTGCATAATATAGCGATTATTGTAGTGTTATGTGAGACTTGTCGCCAAAATGCCTAAAAAGTCGACCAAAACTCGTAAAACTAAACACAAAACCCGGAAAAACGGGGAAACCTTTTGGGCAGAGAGACTACTGGCCAGAAGGGACGGCATTACTGAATATCTGGTCAAATGGAAAGGGTTTGGACCCGAGTGTAATACATGGGAGCGCCTGGATGACCTTTTGTGAGTTGAAAATACTTTTTTAGTTATTTTTAATACTTATGATATGCAGTAGTGAACTCATTATTTAAGTTAATTTTAAAAATATTATTTAAATAAACACATCTGGATGAGTTTAATATAAACGACTATAGTATGTACCAGTGGATTAAGGACATCGACGTTAGTTACAGATAGTCATCAAAATAAGTAATTACTAAAAACACATTTTGTTTTATTGACATGTTTTCGTATTTATGGGTAAATAACTTTTTAGTTTATCATAATTAGTGATGTTTATAGGCTACTTAAATCTAACTGGGTTAATTATAACTTTGCGTTTAATCCGTATAAAAGTTATACATAATACATAATTTATAATAAACTAATAAAACAATGAGTCATTTGATGGTACAAGGTTATTTCTATTAACATTCATACGAAAACATGTCAATAAAACAAAATGTGTTTTTAGTAATTACTTATTTTGATGACTATCTG